TAAGCACACCCAGGGGTAGCAGCCAGTTGATGACAGTGGTGAGTAGTTAATCAGCTAATGGTAGCAACCCCGCGTACTTTGGGGATCATCTACCTATATGTACTGAGACATCTGCCCTTTGCCACTGATAATGTGTATCTTGACTTTCAGGTAGCTCTCATTTGGATGTCTAAAGGGACTTATATGCTYCCATCTTTCTGCTATAGTTATATAACTAAGTTATATACATAGTTCAGTAACTAAGTTCACACTCATTGTTTGTGATAAATATAATTAGAGTAGAATATTAATTTGGTGGAAGTTACAATTGCATGGGAGAGATGTTAAGTTGGTTTGACCTGTCATGCGCTTGACTGCTTTTTAAGCAAATTCTAACTGTATTGGTATATAAATTGTCATTTCTTGCTGCTTTTGGTCACAGCTCTGACTGTCTTAGACTGCATTTCATATGTCAGTTTTGGGATTATGATCCTTTGACCATCCTATACTTTGTCTTGCCATTAAGTCCAGTTCATTTCTAAGGGCTTTGTCATGTTTCACACCCTTCTGGCTTGTCTTCCACGTGTACTCACTCATTTATCAGTAAAGAATTTGATCCAAGAGGAATACATCTGTGTGTTTCATACCACTTAAAATTCCAAACGTGACTGGAGTACCTCTGTGGTTGTTTGAATGTTGTCTTGCATAACTGTATAATTCTGACTGTCACCTCTGTAGTGGGCAAAGAACAAAATAGTAGAAATAGATGGGAAATGAGTTTTAAGCTTGGTTATTTGTCATGTGGGTTAAGTGCCCTAAACACGTGTGTGCAAAAATGGTGTGGGGTGGTTCACTGTTAGATACCTCTGCTTCCAAGTTAAATGTAGCTAAATTCAGGTTATTTGGCACATCTTGTAAATATACCATTATTAAGGACATTTCAGTTTTTTAGTTTCAATCCACTTAGCTTTGGGGGAAAAAAATCTCATTTGTCCTGAAACAGGTAGAGCCTGAGGGGCCTGTTCTGTACATGGAAAACACTGAGATTTATTCAGACAGAGGAGAGAGAAGAGAGAAAAAAAACAAACAAACAAACAAACAAAAAAAAAGGTAAAAGAAAATGTGTTACAATTTGCTACCCAAACCTGAAAGCCTTAGCAACCTTACACTAACTACATCTAAGATATATGCTTAGGTTTTCTTCTCAATATATGTGAATTGTTGTGGCTAAGAGCGTGATCTGCAGAAACTTGCTTACTGAATTGGGAGCTGTGGGCAATGCAGATAGGAAACTGGAATGATTCTGAGGAGAGAGTCTTAAATATTCACTTGTCTGGTATGTTTTATGGCTCCTCACTTTATTTGGGATTCTGATTGGTCACTGGAAACCAAGCTGAGATTTGAGAGAGTGTGTCCAGGATTGCCTGAAGGAAAGGGAGGTGGAAGAAGTCCTCCCTTTGTTTTGCTAGTACTGTAAAGCATTCGACCAAGACTGTTATCAGAGGTAGAGTGCTCTTGTGCTTACTAGACTTTAAACCCTTATCTCATTTCCCAAGATAGAGCCTTATACATCAAGGTGTAAAGGCATGATAGTGAGTTTGGAAGAAGATGGTTCTGTCAGTCTTCCTGTACTGTTTTTGAATGGATTCATTAAACCTTCATTGAGCCTCTGTTGGCAGATAAAAGGAAGGCATTAGACAGGAGGCAGCAGACAGCTCTGAAATAATAGGCAACCTAAATTGTCTGAGCACTTCAGTCAGCTAAAACATATACCTATGAGATAAAGAGGAGAGACTAGTTTGTGGACCGTGATGAGGCTTTGATGTAAACCTGTGAAGGTGGCAGCTATTCTGAACTTGCCCAGACACAAGCTGAGGTGCCCAGCAGATGTCAGTGTTGAAATACTTGTATTCTCAGATTTTAGGACTATTTAAGATTTAACATGATTTGTTGGGGAATTTTCAGGGTCTCATTTTTCAGCAGAGACTCCTATGTGTCTGAGATGTGCAGAAGATACCCAAATCCATAGCACCATTCTGCTCTACAAGGAATGGTGTCAGAGCRTGCTAGGCAAGTCATCACATGTGGGGCTTGTAATTATGGAGTTCAGCTTTAGGTTTATGGATGAGGGAAAGCGTTGTTCAGGATGTTTCTGAGGAGCTGCTCTGCTCCAAGAATACTATCCTTTAGTTTATGACTCATTTAATATTCCCTGTAACACTGGGCTTCTTTTCTAAGCTGTGTCTTACTCCTTTCTGATTTATTCAGTTATTAACCTGTAATACTCACTATCTACTCCTATCTGCTTCTCTTGCAACTGAGTACTTTCTCTCCTTCCCAACCGGTGAGTCCTTTTTTAGTTAGGAACCCTTCCTCTCTTGATCACTTCTGCTTGGGCAGTTTTACTGTGTGCAAAGATGCTCTGTAATCAGGGTATAGAGAACTTGAAAAGCAGTTATCTTTTGGCTAATGCATACAATAGACAGGTAGAACTAATGAGTAGTGACCAAGCTAAGCACTGATGTGCATGTTACCTGCAGTGGAGGGGTTAACAAGCACATCTGGTCCAGATAGTTGTCTGTTATGTGGAGAAAAATGCTGATTTCTGTTGCTCCTCTGTAACTGGCAGATCTTCAGGCTTGGAGAGATGCTGTCTTATAAGCCTCTTTTATTTCCTTAAGATTTTATAACTTTTCATGTCATAATTTTTCCTCACCATCTCAACAATTCCACTTTTCATTCTCTCTCTTTTTAACTTATTGTGTGTGAATTAAACTAATATGCTTTCTTCTTGTGAGGATACACTTGAGGTTAATGGGCCAGATTTATCTTTGCCCTTTGGCTGTTTTAGGCTGCAAACCTGTTGGTAAATCTGTCTGAAGGTGCTTAGTTAAAATGAGTTGCTTTGCCTCACTGAAGTACCAGACACCAGAAAAGACAGGAAAACATGAGAAAAATAGAAGTGTCCGGTGATTTTGGACTGAATCATTCATGTAGTAAGTAAATGCCAGTGAATAACAGGTTATAGAATACTGTATACTCTTTTCCTCCCACTCTTAAAAACATTTCAGATGTTGTGTGTATCTAAAAAGCTGGTAAATTAGTTAATAGTGCATCAAGAACCTGCCTTCTTTCCAGTGCATCTCAAGACGAACACTTTGTATTTTCTTTGCTGCTTAATAACTGATGAGCTGTTACTGTCAGCCCTAACTTGTCATCAGTGAGGGCTTTATGTTGGGCTTTTTATTGGTTTGCTGTTTTTGTGAAAGTAAGTACCTAACTTCATTGGATATATTCTGCTGTGTAAAAAACTTAGAAATTTTCCAGTAAGTTCAAAAGTTGTCAGGTGACTAGTCGAATAGAGTGATCACCTCTTTGGGAAGCATCTCCCAGATGCTTGAGACAGTGGTTGCTCAGATGAGTCTGCAGGAACCCAGATGAACAGCTGGTTAAAATCCAAAGCTCATGCACCTTAATTGTACAACAAACATGCACTGTTATGTGTTTTGCTGTTGCATTAAAACATTGCAGTTATTGCCCCCTGTATTTGTGCAAATATATTTTAAAATGTGACAGTATACTGATCTAAATTACACTGCAGTGTGCATCTTTCAAAAACATAGAGATATGATGTTAACATGTTCTATTACAGCTTATAAGATACTGTATCAAACTTAGTATCTTCAAAATCAATGCCTGGCAAGATGGACAAATGGCAGTTAAATATAAAATTAAAACAGAGATAGGTTGATCATTTGAGCATCTTTTCTTTCTTTTTCTGAGAAATTTAGAAGTTTTCAAAGTCATAAGAGAAATGAAGCAACAAAGTGTAAGTTTATGCTACTCTGGATTAAATTGTAATGCACCATATTTCCTACCTCTTTATTGAATGATAAGGAATTTCCAGACTCTAGAGTTTAGTACTACCTGCTATGGTACTGCATTTTAGGAAGTCCCTTCAACAAATGATATAATAATCGCTATGAGACTGTTAGAGCAGGGATTTGGTGATTTGAGGTTTGCCTCACACCTGTTTTCCTCAATTTCCTTGCATGAAAAGGCCTACTGTACAATTTTATCCACATTGCATAACTGTAGTGTTCTTTAATGCTTTTACAAAACAAGGCTTCCATCTGAAGGTGCATTCAATGAAAGCAAATGTTGTTGAGTTGAAGTTGGTCTGGATTTTTTTCAGCTAATGTGAGACACTAGATTGTCTGGACAACAAACAATAAGGTCTGCAGAATGCATACAGTTAATTAAAGATAAAGTTTATTGTTGCTTAATAATAGTGATTATATTTTGAATGTGCAAATAATTGAGTAGATGATCCATCTACTCAAGGAGGGAAAAAAAAAATCTCATTACTTGCATTGGTGAGACTTTCTTGTGTGTGCTATTAGATGGGTTTGAAGCCATGATCTTAGGATTCTGTCCCTGGAGTTTTATTTTTTCTGCATAGCGGATGCTGCTAGGAATATCAAACTCATTTCACAAAACTTCTCAATGTAAATCAGTATATTGTTATGTACAGGCATTGTTACTAGCTTTGCTGCATAGATGTCACATATCTGAGTCAGTTTTTGGAGCATATGAAATTTTCATTCCATTCTAATGAGAAGAACAATACCTTATGACCAAGTATTACTTAATAATAGAAACACTAAAGTACATAGTATAAAAGGCAGCAGCTAGAAAAGTTTAACATAGTATCTCTGTCCTCCTTCTGTCCAGTTAAAAGTGTGATTGCCAATGGGGAAATATTTCAGAGTTAAGTGATTCAGAAGAACATAAAGGAAATATTGCTTAATGTATCTGCAATAATTACACCTCACTTCAAAGCATGAGGACAGTAAAAAAAAAAATGCTAATTCTATTGCCATTCTTACAGTATTTTTATTTGCCAAATAACTAATTGAATTTTTGCTGGTTTTTTTTTTTTTTTTTTTTTTTTTTTTTTTTTTTTTTTTTTCTCCCTGAGTGTTGCAATATATTCTAAGGGAGTTTGTTTTACTTTGCAGGTCAAGCCTTGAGGGTATCAGCAGAGGATTTTACCAGTGATCCCTGCTGCCTACCCAAGAGGCAAGCTGTTGTCCAGGCAGCCCGGGCACTGCTGGCAGCTGTCACAAGGCTTCTTATCCTGGCAGACATGGTGGATGTGGCATACCTACTGGAACACTTAGCTGTGGTGAGTAAAACCAGCCCTGCCTCCGAACAGACACTGTTTCTTAAGGCTCCTCTGCTTTGATATTTTTATTATTATTTTTTTTTGCGCTTGGAAGCTGCAGACTTCATACATGTAGCATCTTGGCAATTGGTAGAAGTGCAGATTTTAGATTAGGTTTGTGAAACTTAACACACTTGATCTGGAGAAGAAGATTGTTATCTTTAGGATTACGTTTTAAAACTTCCTTTATTTCTTGATTCCTATTTCTTTATTTGAATTATTTTATATGTACTTATGCATGATACCATTTTGATATTTTATATCAAATATTGTCTTGTGAACTTAAGGGGGATCAGTATGACAGAAGCCTATTTTGCTGAGAATAAGGGAATGAAAATTTGGCTCCAAATGAGAGTAGGAAGTTGTTCTGCTTCATCTCCTAGTATTTCATAATAAAACAATGTTGTATGGGTTTTAATGCTTTGCTTGAAACATCCAACTGTTGGAAATACAGCACAGGCTGAATGAACCACTGGCACACAGACGCTTCTGTCTGGTTATAGGCATATGAAATTTGTCACTTGTAAAGATACATCTAGATTTTACACAAGTATTTTCATAATCCTAGATGCACCCTTTTAAAGTTCTTTCATTACGTTTTACATAAGAGTGTTAAAGGTTAAGGTGTTAAGGTACTTTTCTTCTTAGAGTTTCAGGATTCCTGTACAATGCTATGATTCACTTTTTTTTAATGAAATCTAGCAATAAATGGTAACCATAAAATAATGAATCATTTGGAAAAACTCAAACCCTGCGGGAACTTCAATTAAGCTATCTTCCTCTTCCATACTTAAATTTAGTTCTCTTGGTAGGATTGAGAATTGAGTTTCTCAGTTAATTCTTAGAAGAAATTAAGTTGTGGCGTAGAACTCCCCAAAATACCCATGTAGGAAGGCTTAGCTTTGTCCTAGGGGAAGATGGTACATTCTCCATGTCAATCCAGTCTCTGCTGTGGCCACTGAAATGACCAACACTGGTACCAGCTGTAACAGTGTCTTTTTATGTAGACATCAATTAATTAGAAAATGGATTTAGAGTATAAAATAATTTTGTAATAAGCTACTCAGTGTCCTACAAATGGTAACAGCTTTTGGTCACTGCTAGCTGAACCAGATTCAAGTACAATTAAAATATTTATTGAGTCCTGAGTTGCTCTTTGCAAAGTCCTTAGCTTTAGTTGTGGTAATTTAGAAATCCTTAGGAGCTCTGATTTCCTTAAACGTGGATCTGCTCTGAGCCRTGGCTGCACAGGGCGCAGCATCCATAGCGTGGCTGCAGTGTAGAAAGAGACTTTGTCTTTGCTGTATCAGCTTTATATGCTGAATGTTTGCAAGTTCATATCACTTTGAAATACAATTTTCCCTAAATAGGCCTTTAGCAGTATTTCTTTGAACTTGTTCTAAAATAGGAATACTTGTACCATTTAGTCCTCCTCACAAAGAACTGCRCAATACAGCTGTTACTAATCATTTGAAAAGAGATGAGAAATTTCATTGCCTTTTATTTCCATAACTCTGAACTCTGTAATTTTCATTGAATAAAATCAAGAAGTTTAAGGACTGAACCAAAATTAACTCTAAAAATAAAGGCAATTATAACCAAATGATTGTATAATGAATTAAAATAAACAAAGTAAAAATTCTAACCAAGAATGTTTCTATATATTAGAATTAAAAACAAAGTGGTCCAGCTTTACTTGAGACTAGAGATATTAGTCCAATCTTATGAAATGAGAAAATATTTTCTGGGGAGTTACCCATTTATGTATCTGTTATTTACAGACTCATTCTTTGAGGGATGCTGGAAGTGTCGTCATGCTCATTTGGTAGAATCAGTAAATTCCAACACTGTCATCCAAAAACATTTGGACATACTTTTTCCTGGATAAAAATAGGATTGTGTAGGCAATATTTCCACACTTGTATTGACAGAATGCAGTCTAGGTCATTAAACTTTAATTTCATTCTGTAATTATGGAGTAAATATAGAAAGCAAACAACAACAATGTGACTAGCTGTCATATAAATCCCCAAATAGTGTTATCTGTTGCATCTGCCGTTCTGAGATATKGAGGAAAAAAATGAATCCCTAAATTTGTCCTTTCAGTTCATATACTTTATAAGAGAGCATTATCTTTTCTGTTGGTTTTGCTTAGACTTGTTTTTTCCYTTTGATTTCTAAATAATAAAATACTACTATAAAAGAGGATATAATGTTGAATGAAAAWTTTGTGATGAAAATATTGAAATGCAACGTTTTAACTAGAAAGTCAGTTTGGTTGGAAGAATAAACATGGCAGGAATTCCATTCCATATCAAATATTGTCCAAAAACATTGTGAATAACCAGGTGCATCATGAAAATAACTGAAGTTAATGTGTGTTTCAAAACTTCACTAATAAAACGGAAAGAGAAAATTCCAAGTTTTTCTTCACTCTGTAGAGTCGTCATCCCCAAAATACCTATCAAATAATGTGTGTTAGAAGTTGGTACTGTTTCTCAGTGAGTACCCTGGTAAGCTTTTAGTTCTTCATGGAACTTACAGCCTACTACAGATATGAAACTTGTAACGTACAACAGATGCAATGGTGCAGTGCAAATGGCAAGCTCATTTTAAATAGCGCTGACTGCAAAAATGAAAATGAAGTATATTGCATTGACGAGGAAAGTCTGCTTCTTTAAACAACTTAAAACAGTTTTATTTTTAAATAAGCAGCTGTCTGTGTCTGATCCCCTATACTTGTGATAGAGTTTGAAATCTGTCATCATAAAACTAAGTTGTGAGAAATGTAGTTAGGCAAAGGGCTGTCTTGTGAATCACGTTTTTTGAGTCAGAGGTCTATTAGCAGCCTACTCATTTTCCTTGGTGATGCTCGTTATTACTGAAGTGAATTAACAGACTAATGGAATTGCTTGAATTTATTGATTGGAGAGAAAAGCAAGAAGGTAACAAGTTCAGAAAATTTAATTCAGAGAGCATTGACAGCGTACTTTTTTTAAATCCATTTCAGTTTGTGCTGAACCAACATGTTTTATTGCTCATTTTCCTCCGTCGTCATGTTTGTAGGTTTACAGTTTGACTCATATTTTTCATAAACTTCTCAGCAGACGGTGATCATTATAAAACATTTGCTTAAAGTTATTTGAAGTTCTTGCCRTGAAAAGAAAGCGAGAATGGCTACAGATGAGAAGCAGCTTGGAACTTGKGCCTCTGTGGGCATAGTGCTGTCAGCACAGCTGTCTGCACAGCTTTTTGTGTGGCAGCATAAAGGAAGAAATGTAAGTTGCCTTAGACTCACCTCTGGTTCTGGTTTGGCTATTTGTTGTATAACTGCTCTGACTGGAATTTAGTGACTTGTTCTGCACAATCTCTTCTGATTATTTTGATACTGTTGCATAATGTAGTGTAACATAACAAAAACATATATAAAAAAGAGGCAGGCCAGTGTAGCGTACAAGCTCAGGTTGTAAAACTGAAAATGATTACAGTCTTCCATTTGACTTCAGTGGGTATGGGTCTTACCTGTTTTAAGAGAGGTCTCTGAATACTAGGGATATATTAAAAGATTTGCAGGGGTGTTTGAGAGATGTTTGATTCATGCTGATCTTTATTTTTCTGATCAGCCAGCAGAAGTGGATCCTTGCTGCTGTTCTGGGGTCGGTATATGCCTTATGGAATACATAGAATTTGTGATTCAGGCTACAGTGTTTTTCATTGCACTCAACAAATTTGGTAGCATCTTTATTGTGCAATAAGTGACCGAAGAAAAGCAGTGTTTAACCATGACTTAACTGGGTTTTTCAAAGTGAACATCCTCTGTAGTGCCATTGGAGCCTGGATACACTTCTGTTCCTGGTACAATGGCTACTTTATAACTCCCTAATGACTCCTGGCTTTACAACCCCCAGGCTTCCCTTGAACAGCAATATACTTAAGACTCTCTTCTAACAAACTGTTGCTAGGGAACAGTCTCCCCAGTGACTGCAGTGCTGTTTATGTAACATCTCTGGTTTCGCTCTTAGCCTGGGAATCACTGGAGAAAGAACATTCTCCTTTTCTTACCAGGTAGAAACATGGCTTTGAAGGAGCCCTAATTGGCTAGAGAGCTTCAGGTAATGCTGCTCAAGAATTTCTTTGAAATGAGCAAACCAAAGGCTCCCAAAACTATTTTACCAGAATACAGAAACACTAAATGGAAGACAGTAGGTGTATTTTGAAGAGAAAAAGAGAACTGCCAAAATAAAAACACACTTAAATGAAAAGGCTTGAAAACAAATTCARTCTCTGCTTTTTTGTAGTGTAGAGCCTTCCTTTCATTCTTGTTTCTAGTTCAGCATCTCTCAGAGGCTTCTTGGTTTGCAACAGATTATACAGTCTTCATGTGCATTGGAAATTTTCTGTTGTTACATCCTTCACACAGGTGTGGGTCTACCTTCATCTGAATTCCTGCTTGTCAGGGATTTTCAGGGTTGAAGGTGCCCTCTTTGCTACCTCTTTTTCTCCTGTCCTATGTGGTATCCTAGAAAGTCTCCATGAAAAAAGCTTACATAATAAATTTGAGAGTGACTTGTTCCCATCTCTTCCATAATGTCTACCTGTGTCAGAGTACAGGAGGATCAGATCCTTGCTGAAGCTTTCAYGACAGAGCAAGGAAATGGGCAGCTTTCACCCCTGCTGCTCAACTACCACCTTTTCAGCAGGAGGCAAATCGTGTCTGTCTATGTACACTCCAGCAAAAAAAAAAAGGTAAAGCAACAGAAAAGAATAGGTCACCCTCTAAAAAGCCCTGCTTTGGTGGCAGCTAGTTTTAACACCTGTAAAAGTGGGTATTGAGCAGGTGTGTACATCTGGGAAAGGTAGATACTGTCTTTTTTTTTCCCTGATGAAGAAAGAAATCAAGGGCACATTCCTGTAGTCTGTGGGAAAAATTAATTTAGGCAGTAGAGATATCTCTGTGATTGTTTGAGATGGAATATAAACTGCATCATGTCAGGTTCACCACACAGGAGAAAATAGCAGTCAATACAAATTTATCTGGCCTGCATGGCTATAAGCGTTATATAAACGTTTTACTCAGCCCAGACATAAGCTGTGTGGGAGTGTTCTAAATAAAAGGGGTTAGTTTTTTTTCTGGGTTAGTCATGCAGATATTTTTAATATTATGAAGGATATTTATATACTTTAAATGTGTTGCTTTAAGAAGATAAATAATGGAAAAACTGTGAGATAATTTCTAAATGGAGAGAGCTGTAAACGTAAAGCTTAGGAAGACCTAGAGTGCAAAGGTGATTTATTAGAATAGGTTAGCCAGGAATATACTAAAAGCCAGAAGCCAGACATCAGTATTATGTCTTGTAGTGAAGAGGTTTGAAAGTTTATTTTGGAAAAGTTGGTAAATGGGCTATTAAAAAGAAGTCGACAGCTCTTGTAAGAATTATTTGGACTGTGTAGGTGTCTGCAAACTCAGTTTGGGGCCTGTGACTCCATTGAGGTAGATCCCTTGAACACATGACTAAAATGTATGGTTGATAAATTGTTTCTTTTTGTGTAGTTGTTATATTTTGCTAATACAGCAGTATTAACATTGAAGTGCAATGTTTAAAGGAGAAAAGAGACACTTTGAAATTTTTCCTTGTGAGCAATAATCTTGGAAGGCAAATTCTAGGTTGGTAAAATGACCTTAGAAATTCATTTTCTTTTGTTAGATTATGTGTAGACAGTATAATAATGAAGCCAATGTAATGTACAGTGTTTCATCTGGTCAACAGTTAGTTGCATCTGAAGCATGCACAGATCATTCTGTTTCAGAGAAATTTATTGTATAGCATTTTATAACTTACGATTGATTTAGAAGGCCAAACTGAAATGCTTGTGAAACAAACAGCATCTGCTTTGTATTTGAATGCATATCTCCACACCTTCTTAAAATGAAAGCAAAATCCTCTGGTATTTCCTGATTAGAAGAGGCTGTGTGACCTCCTCTCCATGAACATCTCCAAAGAGCCAAGTCTGAGCACATTCCATTATAGCAAAATATTGGAAGAACAGCTGCTTTTCATAAATATGTGTTCAGTAATTGGAGTTTGAGAGAGGTTTTTTTATTGATTCTTTCAGTCATCTCTCATGGTGATTTAAAATAGTACATGTAGTGTAATAGTACATGTAGTGTAATATTTAGTCTTTTAAAGCAACATTACTTATGTCAGAATCGAGATGAAATTGGCTTCTCTTGCTTAATTCAGCTCCTATTCATGCATATTAAAAGAAAGAGACAAATGGAAGTTGATACTGATATCTTGAATAACAAATACTTTTTCATTGCTCCTGCCCTAGACAAATCAAGGAAAAAAAAAAAGACTTTGGCAGAAATGGCCCAGAATCTGAACTAGGCTTGTAGAATGACAGCAAGTAAAGGATGTGTAGTGGACCAGTTGATAGTGTCACTTTTATGTCTTARTTAGGTTCTTAAGCAAGAGACATTAAAACTACGTGGTTCGTCAAGTAACATCGTTCACAAACCAGAAAAAGCAGTATTTGTTGCTTCCTATGTGTTTCTATTGAGTTTGTATTATTATTACCAGGAATAAGACTTTGTACTACATGTATAGTGATGTCTCCTCCTACATCTCCCGATTGTAAGTAATGAGGAACATGACACTAAATATTTATGATCTAGTCTCATTCATATCTAGATATCAGCAGACCATTAAATTTCACTGCTCATACTGAGGTCCCAGGCTTGTCAAGGAAATCATGTTAGAACCAGAGTGGGTCTAGTCCATCTTGTATTCATCTGCTTTTTCAAGAATGCTAAAAATTCTAGACCAAATCCTAGAATGCTGCAGCACCAAGGGAGATACTGAGCTGAACAAGCCCAAACCTCAGGCCAAACCAGACAAGCTCTGACTTTTTAGAGCAGAAATTGTCTCCTTGGGATCCCAGACAGGATGCTCCTAACTGTGGTTTCATGGTAACATTATCAAAATGTGAGAATTAGATTAGACCTTACAAAATCAGACAGCAACCTATTCCACAAGTGCTCATACTATGAATCAGCTTGCTTGCAACAGCTGAACAGTGCAGCAATAGTAGGAAGCAATGAAATTAACCTTTTTCAGAGAAACACAGAGTTAGGCCATAGTGTGTAGAGACTTTAACAATCTTTGTGGAACTGGAGAAATTAATTTCAATGAAGACCAAACCTGGCAAGTCTTAACCTAAGTATCATTATGCAACCACTCTGTCTATACCTTGGCCTCTTCTCTTTGAACCCATTGCTTAATTTTCTTCATGTTTGACAGAAGAACAGAAGTCCCCTGACATCAGGAGCTTACAGAGAAACCAGAGGATTCTCAGGTGGCCATTATAAGTAGTTTGTCTGTAGGCAAACTTCAGCTAGAGCTCCCATTTCTCTTTTGATGATACAGTGAACCTACTGTGAGATAAGTTACAGGAAAGTACTTTTAGTACCATTTAGAGGGAATTTGTTCCTGATGTTTACTTATTAATTAGATGGAACTACGATCACTGAGAGGAAAATGCAGTTTTTCTTGAGACTAAGTTGTTTTTTATTTGAGTTAAATAAAAAATGTCATCCCACTTGCCCCTCCGCTCTTTCTCCCTCCTGCCATCTCATCACAAGACTTTTTCCAAACATTGTGGCTCTTGTGATGAATTTTGATCCAGCTATTCTATTTTAAGTATATTATACTTAGTTACACATTTGATTTGTTTTTACTTAGCCTCACTTGCAGGTTCCTGTTATATCCAGGATATATAGTGATATAGCCTTCCAGAGAACTGAATGCAGTGTTATTGATGTTTGGGTTGCTTCAAGACATAGCAAGTAGGTGAGCTTGTCAGTTGAGTTCCTGTCRAAGAAAGCACTGAATCTGGGGGGTTAAGTAAATCCATAATAGGATGATGATTCTACAACTACTACTACTGTTTGTTGTTGTCGGATGCATTGATAGAGGAAACAGTGTTCAAAAAAAGTGTACCTTATATCCACTTGGAGAGTGAGTGTGGAAATTATTAAAAGCCTCTTTTCCATGTTACTCAGCTCCACGATAAAATGTGGAAACATAGGGTTTTTTTGGAATATGTCATGGTTTGGAGTTGAGGTGAATTTATGCTGAACTTATATGTTGGTATGACCAGCCTCCTAAGAGGCTGAGACCAGCCTCCTAAGAGGAGAACACTAATAAAACACTAATAAAAAGAGGAACAGAGAACACTAATAAAAAGAGGAGCAGAGCAAGTTTCGCCCTCTCGTTGTGACAGTTCCTCTTCAGAAGTACCACAATGTGTAGTGTCTGAGGAGGTCCTCTAACCATCAGGTACCATCATGGTTGTGTCCAGGTGCTCATGTCCAGCATGTGTTTGGATGACACCAACTGTCAAGTCCTCCTGCTGGCTCTCCGGTTGTCCGTAGACCGAGCTGCGCAGCTTTTGGATAAAGCTTGCTTGAGCTAATGGCCATCAGGGTCTCCACCTGACCTGTCTCCCTGTGTTACCAGGAATCATTGCTGTTCTTCAGATGTCTTCCTCCTCCTTTCATACTTACTTACATAC